CTGCATTTCGCGCACTCGACACGCACGATCTCCGCAGAGGGTTGCACTTTCGGTTGACGCTGTTCGTCCCACCCTCTGCCTTTAAGAGAGAATTTATAAAGTGGGTAAATGTTTTTTCATTAGGACATCTCCCGCGCTAGTTTTCCATACTCACACTTGCCTACTCACTGCACGCTTGCATACTCATTGCCTACTCACTACTCACTGCACGCTTGCATACTCATTGCACGCTTGCAACTCATTACTTGCATGCTTACACTTGCATTGCATGCTTTGCACTTCACTGCTTTCGCTCTTCCACTTACACAGGGCTACGTCTAGCGTTCATGTTGTCCTGCAAGTGTGGTGAAAGTGTCAATGTCTAAGTGTAAGTGTCGAAGTGTTCAAAGGATTTTCCGGAAGAACCCTTCGCAATGCTTTCGGGAAAAAGAAACTGGAAATACAAGAAAACCCAAGGCCCGTTTGGTCATTTTGGGATTTATGGACCCCTCAATTGAAACCTTGGACCGTGACGCCACTGGGCAGAGACAGCCGGTCTCTTATACTCCAAGTTCTCGCTAGTGCTCGCTCGGGAGTTCAATCGTTCGACATCAAAACTGCATTCCTTCGCGGAAGCCGTCGGGACAATCGAGGGTTAGGAATAGAGCCACTGGAAGAGATGCGTGCCCTAGGCACCTCTCATGTCTCCCCTAGACCCCTGTGTCTTTGTACTACCAAAAAAGGAATACCAGAGTGGAAAATGCGGTTCCCTGGCTATTCATGGACTTTTGGGAATTCATGTGGATGATGGGCTGGCGGTGGGGATCAAATCTTTGAAGACAAAATACGACAGTTGGAATCGCGATATCCTTTTGGGAGCAAGCGCAAACAAGACATGGTGTTCACAGGATTGCGCATTCACCAAGACCTCTCCGGGTCAGTACAGGTTGACCAAAAGGATTATGCGCGTGACATCCCAGGCATTCATGTGTCCAGAGAGCGGCGTCAAGAGCCTAAGTCTCCAGTCACCCCACAAGAACTCCAACTTTTTCGTGGGCTAATAGGTAGTCTCCAGTATGCAGCCACCAATACCCGACCCGACATTTCTTGCCGATTGAGCCTTTTACAAGCCAAAATTCCCTCAGCCACAGTTCAAGACCTTCTTCAGGGAAATCGCTTGTTAACGGAAATTCAGAACTTTGCGGAAGTTCATGTAAAATACCAACCAATACCAATAGAGCAAATCCATTTTCTATCTTTTTCAGACGCAGCCTTTGCATCTCGTGAGAAGGCTCATTCTCAAAAGGGGTGCGTCATCTTTGCCACAGATAACACCATTGATCTAGATCAGGCTGCGCCCATCAGCCCCATTACATGGTTTTCAAAGAAAATCAACCATGTTGTGGGCAGCGCCTTGGCTTCAGAGACCTTTGCCTTGTCAGGTGCCTTAGATATACTCAGTTGGATCCGCTTGCATTGGTCCTGGCTGGTCAAACCTGACACTCCATGGAAAGATCCCGAAACAACATTGGCTGCATTGCCGAAAGCGTATTATGCAGTCGTTGATTGCAAGAGTCTGTACGACCTTCCGCAGAAGACATCGATTCCGCAGTGTTCTGAACACAGAACGATGCTTGAAGCGTTGATCATTAAGGACCGACTTAAGGAGGGAGTATTAGTCAAATGAGTTCATTCGGCCGCTCAAGCCGCTGACGGACTGACCAAAGACATGGATGTCACCCCTCTTCGACTGTTCTTAAAAAACGGACATGCAGAGTCCGGGACGTTGATGTCATTTTGCAGCAGAGGGCCGACAAAAGGCTCAGAAACAAATGGCTGGCACAAGAGACAAACAAAGATATAGAAAAGAATTCAGAGATTTTGTAGGAGTGTGATTTGCATGCTGTTCTGTCCACACCACCATCGAGTCATCGGATGTTTCGTGAAAGCCATTCATGATCGCTTGTGGCCTACCTCTCAAGTCAGGGGGCTTGGGCGCGGAACCCATGTTGTTGGCCTGAGGACAGGCCTTGGAAGTGGCTTGGCTGTGGACAGCCTTCGTGGAACTCGGCCGTGGACGGCCTTCGTGGAGCTTGGAAGGAAAAGGCGCGAGGTCGCGCAGTCTTTGCAGGGAGGGCGAGGAAGCTACCAGTGTAGATACCAATCTACAATATATATATATATATTTCTTTTTTTGAGGGGGGGGTGTGTAAATATAAACACACATATCATATGTTTTTGCTGGACTGAAGATAGTCCTTGACCGGAATACATGCACACTGGCTTGACAGTGGGGACCGGCTCAACCAATCTTTGCCTGCTGTACAACTCGCAGGTGAGTGCCAATCCCTGGTCAACAAAAGTGGGAACACCAGAGCAACAAGTGTTATGTACCGTAGACCTTAGTAAAGGACTTGACATTGGGTTTGAACAATTTGCATCGTGTTTGGAAACCAGCGATACACTCACCAAAATGATAACACAGTGACACAGTGTTCATAGAAATAAGGAGTGTCGCTCACATGACATGTGTATTAGAGATTTGCAGAGATTTTGGCAAGGTTGGTCAGTTGGTTGGGGCCATTGGCTTTCAGTGGCATCCTGGAGCGCATCACTTCGCTCTGTATTCGCGATGTCTTATTGGATGATATATCTATATATTACATTATATATAACTTAATTTTATATCAGATATCATATTCACAACTTGTTTTGCCCAACAGCCCGATCGACTCCATACTCCGGGACTCCGGTGCCAAGGAGAACATGTTTCTCGTTTGTATTGGTCACAGAGCTCCGTTGGAACGAGTGGCCAGAGCTGCACAAGTCCATCCCTCACCACAAATCCAGCCACTGCTGATAACTGCAGCACTGGTTTCTGATTTGTTTGTGTGTCTAGCTATGTAGCTCGCTGAAGACGGCACTGCCCCTGCAAACATTTTTTGGAAAGCATAAAATGCATGATCCCAGCCTGGCTTGGAATCTCATGATGCTGGAGGATTCAGAGGGTTTGTGTTCGGACTCTAATGTCCAACAGGAGTGTAGACGCTGGTAGTATGCTGCCCAAGTGCAAGCATTGGTGTTTCTAGCGTCTTCTAGCCTTTACTCAGGCCCAACATAAGAAGGCACACACACACACATAAGTAGACGCAAACAAAAGTCACCAGACTGCAAACATGTCAGATCATCTCACAGCCACAAAGTACATGTATATGAGCTGATATACACCACATGTGTTTGCAATGTCTCAATTGTGCATTAGTATGCCATTTGGTTCTTCCGTTGTTACAAAGCGGCTCGCTGACATGTCCAGCTGTCTTCAATCCATCACATGTTGCCTCTTCTGAAGAGTCTCAACCTAACACCAAACGCAATAGAGGCAAGGTGAAAGAATCTTGGCTTTGCATACCAACCTCTGCAGGTCAGAGCGACTTGTTGAGTCCTCAGTGCCTTTCATGCAAAGTCGAAGTTCGTGCAAACAACATTGCATTGATCTGTCAAATGTCTTGTGCCCAAGAGACCCATGCTTGTTGATGTTTGGTGCTGTGAATTCCGATGCCATCGCAAGGGTGATGCCACCAAGGCAGCAGCGTGATTTCTGGCGAATGTCGCATCAAAGTAATATATACTTTGTACTGAATAAACATGCCTACTATGACTTGACTAGACTGAGCAAGTTGGCACTGTGCAAGTTTCCTTTGGCATGATTTGTTAATGATTTTTTGCTGGAATCCAGGCAACCGATCAGATGACCAGTGTGTAATTAGTCTGACTGTAAAAAAGATGGAGCATATCACTAGGTTTGAGCCGGTTTGAGCTGTACTCAAAATTCGATCGAATAAGTCAAGTGA